GTCATCTGTTGCTACCTATGCTGCAGAACAGGAATCTTCACCAGTGGGGTAGAGACCGGGATAAGGCAGCAGCATATGAGAAATTACTATGGATCTCAAAACTTATTCTTGTGTTCAAACCATGTTAATTCTCCTGATAAAACAGAGGCAGATGTTTTCTATCCTCATATGTTGGAATGCAGAGAGTAAGGAAGAACACACTTCACCTCAAGAGATTTTTGAGCTTTTTTCTGAAGAGCTGCTCGAAGAATAGAAAAGCCTTCATAAGGGCAAAATAGCTGAGCATTTTTATGAGCACTAGACCAGAGAAAAGAATTGGCAGGGAATCTGTGTGGTTACAAAAGCATGTGTATCCACATTCCTCCACTGCAAGCAGAAGTACTGGATGGCCTCAATATGCACACAGTTAACTCTGCATAGCAAGAAACAGATAGAGGTTTAAAGAGTCTGTGTTCTTCTATAAAAAGATTATTACATTGAGATAATGCACACATAGGGTAGTTAATTTTAATTTAGGTAAGGATGAATGTCACCTTCTAGCATCTTACACCCAGACAACCCCCCCCCCCAACTTTTTTTCCCCCCCCCCCCCCATTCTGATTCAATTTACTCCCATTTCTAATGTTGATTAAACTCAGTTAGATGAAGCATTCATCTTCCAGTCTGGCAGCTATCACCAAGATATTCTACAGAGAGGGAAGTTTATGGAGTAAATGACCAGCTTAATGCTTTTGAAATAATTTGCTGGGCCAAAGCTTGCCTGGTATTTTGAAGTTATAATGCAAAAAGATAAAATATGTTGACTAAAAAAGCCCCTTCTGCTAGTGTTAGGTTAAATAATGTACAACAATCTATTTCTTTAGGTACCTTTTAATCCTGAAAAAACTATGGTTGGGAAACAAAATGTATATTCTTTTGATTACACATTTAAAAAGCCATTTAGTGCATTCCTTTGCAAATCTTGATAAGTTTTACTCTTCCAAATTGCAGTGAACACTTATTTTCTTGACAGGACAGTAAACATGCAAACACACAGTAACTGTGCCATATGGGCTTTATAGAACAGCAAAGTAGACGTGGCAGTGATTTTTTGAAGTTTTAGCGGCTCAAATACTTAATCTCTAAGAAACAGATCTGTTTTGGAGAGTTAGCAAGAATATATTTAACTTGCTATCAACCCAAAGGGATAATCCTGAAAATGGAACATTTGTGCATTCAAACTGCAAATTAAGGTCCATAAAATAGGAACTGTGGCACCAGGAAATCCATCTAATAATTATGAGTCATTTCACATACCCCTTATTTTCCTAAACAAATGCAAAAAATTCAGGGTTTTAAACAGAAATACAGGAAGTCCTTATACCAGTTTTAAAAGGATTCCCACTCTACAAAGTTCAAAAGAAAGTGAGATTTTTGGTACTGCTACATCCATGCAGACTCAGTTACTAGAAAGTAGCCTTTCACTCAGCACAGTATTATACAGGTTTAAGGGAAAACCAAACAAAAACATTTTTGTTAAACAAAAATGTAATTAGGTCTCACATAATTTTTACTTTTTGTATTTCTAATACTCCCTTATTGATCTGCAAGGCTGAGGGAGACTAAAGAGCTCATTGCCATTTTCTTATGGATCTGGTATTTGCAAGTTGAGCAGTTCACTAACACTTAAACTGTATTTCAGTCGGGGGATATGGGATACATAATGTAGCAAGATAGAGATTCTCTGGTTATTTGCATCCTAGACCTGTACAGAACAATGTATACGCTGAGCTTTTCGTACTCATGTTGCCAACAGGAGCATTACTCATACTGTAGAAGTTTAAGTCACCACTATAAAAAACAGACTTGCCCCTGAAGAAGATATGCTGGGCCATAGACACTAAGGTTCTTAGTGCTAAATCAAAGCATGATTCTGATCTCAGTGCCAACTATGAAAAATAGGGTTGAATAGAGATCCTTTAATATAAAAGAAAATCAGCTTCTGGTCCATTTGAATGAAAAAATATTTATGACTAGGAATGCAGGAATCTCAGTGCACACTGGTTAATCAGATAGCATTTACTTTTCAGAAAGTAAACCATGTAATTGATGTTCAACCAGAGCAATCATGTGCTCAGGGTAGTTAAAGTCGCTATATTGTACTTACATCTTCATCTGGACCTTTTGGGCAGTGTGCTGAATGACTTTGAATTTTTGCAAGGAAGAAAGAATCACAAAATATAGTATTACTTGCACCTGTGTTTGTGCTTCTTCTGTTATACTCACAGTGAAGAAACCACCATCACCACAGACACATAACCAAATATTCTATCTCTCAATGCAAACATACAGTCTCTGGTGAAGGGTGGCACATGGGAAGGCTTCTCCCACTGAGGTGTTAGCAAAGCTCCAACACAAGACAGGTGGATACAGCTCTTTCCATTCTTCTTCCTCTGTAGGCACCCACTAGCTAGCTCACCTCACACACCTCCGAGGGTGACACATACTGTTCCACGGTGGGGCTGCTGAATTCCCAGCTTTTCAAAGGTGTGTTTGCAGATAACCTGAGTTCTCCAGTTAACAGTGTCTGGGCTGACTTTTAGGCAAAATGAAGCAGAAGAAAAGTACCATTTGAGTGTTACAACCTGCGTAATTGTCTCAGGTCTGAACTGACACAGACAGCAAATTTGGCTCACGGGGAGAATTATCATGAGAACAGCATTAGCGAGTCTGCATATTTTAACAGCTTAGGAAGGTCATTTCGTTCTCGTTCCTGACTTCCACTGCTCTTCAATATTGGACAAGAAATTTCGTCTGGTTATTCTTCTATGAAGCGTCATTTGTGCAGCTGGTTATTTTTAAATAACACATGCTTCTGTATAGCAAGAAGGGAAATTAAGGAAGAAAAATAGCCCATAATGTTCTTTTCTGTCTGGTTAATAGGCTCCACATGTATTATTCTATTACATATAATTCTAATATGTAATTTAGTGGATTGTACTGTCAGTACATCCTGCCATTCTGCTAGAAATACTGTGCTGATAGCTGATGATGGCAGGGTATCTCCAGGGTAGCAGATCCACCTGATGGCAGGTGAGGAAAGGCAAGCAGGAGCTGTTTGAGAAACCAGGAATCATCTGCTAGGCAAAGCTAGTAAGAAAGCAATGAGGGAAGGCAACCTGGGATGAGGGGTAGGAAAGGACAGACTGGGCAGCACCCAGAGACCTCCAGCGGAAGACAGGACGAGGGGCAATGTATTATCTGCAGATGGTGCCCGTTGCAGGGTTGGCAACTCAGCCACTCACAACACACTGGGTCTCGATGCTGATGTCCTGCTGATGAGCATTATTTTGACAGGAGGCTACCATGTAAAACTCCTTGTTTAACACGCCCCACTGAAACAAACCCTGTTGCTACTAGCCTCAAACTGCTTCAGCTGTGAGTCCAACTTAACCTGAGTCATGTTGTCATCTCCCAGACACTACCTGCATGCAAGAGCTGCGAAATAACGCCAGCTGCATTAGGAGCAGCATTGGTGACTTACGCATTGACCCACTTTCTGCTGATGCAGTCAGCACCTGGGCATGGCGCAGGGCATAGAGAGGCGCAGGGGGGTCCAGCAGCACTGTGGCTGCAGCTACACAGACTGGCAGTGCCCATGCAGCTGTGCCACAATCCAAGCACACTCTGCATTTTCAAGGATGCTAAATTTATGCCTGTGCTGTCTAACTGACTGTACATCAAGCCTGTTCATGTGAAATACGCATATTGCATGTTATATTAAGTGCAGCTATTGAATATAGATAAGGGAAACAAAATCTCCTCTAGCCACATGAAGCAATAAATACATCTTTTCCTCTTCCACATCTATGTTTTGCATTGCGTTATTGAAGATGACATGCAAAACAGCGCAAAGCACGATATTCCATATTAATCCAGTGGCTTTTCACTTTGGAGCTCTGTTCTGATAAGGCAGACAAGGAGAAAGTAATTGGTGATAGTTGCAGAGCTGGAGTTGGCAGAGCAAAAAGCATCAGGAAAACATTGGAAAAAAATACTCTGAAAGGAAAGTTTGAATTTGGATCACTTGGAAAGCTCAGGAGGATGCTGGTGGCTTTTTGAACTTGTCCATTTGGTTTCTGGGATGAACACTTGAACTTCTGATCATTAACTGAAGCCATGTTTATCTTTTGCAGCATCAAGATTCTGGACTTACGCATTCACACAATATATGCACAGAATCAGACTTTCTGTTTCTAATGATTAAGGATTTGCATCTAAACACTATGATTTGAAAGGACACTTGTTCTGAGCATCGGGCCCAGGCAAGGGGTTTGTATACACACAGACACTAATGTTTACCACTCTTACGTTTTAACCCTGTGATAGGCTAGGACCAACACAACAGGCTAAATCCAAGATTGCTAACTCTGTGTAGCAATATATCCATTCCTGTCCCACTCCTTAAAACAGGAAGTCTTGTATGTCTGATACCATGGTGTGTCCCATACTTACCACAAAGGACAGCCTGCAGTTTGATCCAAGGACCTATATTTCAGTGATAGCTTGGAAATACAGAAGTCGTTCAAGCATCCTGGCAGCTGAAAAACACCATCTAATAAGAAGACATAGTAGTGCCTGTGTTTGCCTTAGGGTGGTGGTGGTGTAGTCAGCGTATTCCTCTCACTCAGTTAGCAGGTCACCAGCATGGGTGACAACACCTCTGTCTCTTGATATGAAAGGGACATTTATCTTTCAGAGGACAGATGTGCCTGTCCTAAAGCAGCCAGGTTGTTAATAAAACTCTGCTCAAAACTGAATGTCCTCTGCTGTAACAGAGAGACTCACCATATGTTTCTGACTGTTTCTCTGAAATCCACTACATTAAGCTGTATGTAGATTACTTAAAATTATCTTTCATTGCTTAAGGTAGGTTTTTCCCATAGACCTGTTAAACAGAACCTTGCTTCTTCTCTTTTTATACAGCCTGAGCAAAAGACGTGGCCGTGATTGCCCACAGCATGGATAACAACAGCAGTCCTGTTGTTCTCCCTACCTTCCTGCTCCTGCTGCAGAGCGAGAGCTACCCTGAGACCCCCATCCCTCCTGCTGGCTATGAGATGACAGCATCACCCACAGGACCCAGCTCAAGCAGGAACCACACTGTCTTGCTGTATGACCTGCAGCGGGGGGAAATTACAGCAGCCAGCATGGTTTTGGGAGCGTTGTGGCTGGTGTCCCTCATTGGAAACTCCCTCGTTTGCTTAGTGATCCATCGGAGCAGGAGGACACAATCCACCACCAACTATTTCGTTGTCTCCATGGCTTGTGCAGACCTGCTCACCAGCGTCGCAAGTGTGCCCTTTGTGCTGCTTCAGTTCACCTATGGCAGGTGGACACTGGGGAATGTGATGTGCAAGCTGGTAAGGTACATCCAGTACCTCACCCCTGGAGTGCAGATATATGTGCTCCTCTCTATATGTGTGGATCGATTCTACACCATTGTCTACCCCCTGAGTTTCAAAGTGTCCAGGGAGAAAGCCAAGAAAATGATTCTGGCCTCTTGGCTCTTTGAGGCTGCATTTGCATCACCGGCTTTCTTTTTCTACAGCTCCAACAGTGACAACCACTGCAACTTTTTTCTCCCCAGTTCTTGGGAAGGAGTTACCTATGGTGTCATTCGCCTCTTGGTGGTGTTTCTGACCCCATCTACCCTCATCGTCTTCTTCTACCAGAGGGTCATCAAGTACATTTGGAGAATAGGCACTGATGGCAGGACTGTCAGGAGGACAACAAATACTGTCCCAAGAACAAAAGTGAAAACCATCAAAATGTTCTTAATGTTAAACTCGGTCTTTCTCCTCTCCTGGCTCCCTTTCTACATGGTACAGCTGTGGCACCCACAGGAAATCAACTACAGAAAGAGCTCCCTGGTTTTTCTGTCCATCACCTGGATCTCCTTCAGTTCTTCAGCCGCTAAGCCAACCATCTACTCCGTGTATAATGCAAACTTCAGAAGAGGGATGAAAGAAACATTTTGCATGTCTGCCATGAAATGTTACAGGAGCAACGCATACACCATCACCACCAGCTCCAGAATAGCCAAAAAGAATCACGTTGGGATTGCAGACGTCCCAGCTCCGGCTAAAACTGTCACCAAAGATGCCATCTATGATGCTTTTAACAGAGAAGAAAAGGAAAAAAAGCTTGCCTGGCCTATTCAGTCCAATCCCCCCAATACATTTGTCTAGTTGGCTGTATTGTTTTGAAAAAAACACTATGTACCCACAGAACAAGGAGCTTTATACCCTTTCTGAATCTTGATGTATATTTACATATTTTTAACACAGATTTGGGGAAGAAAACAAGATGGTTTATTTTATTAAATGACTTGATTTTGATGTGTCCAGTTTATTTAATTTCCATTACCTTCTGTTTTCTGGGAATACTCTCCCTGAATCCCAGGCATCCCTTTTCTGTGAAACAGGAAAGTTCTTAGAGTCTCCTAGGTGGGGAAAAAAGGGTAGGAATAAACATTACTTTTTTGAATCCCTGTACATTGGCCACCGTGTCTCAATGCATATGTCCACCCAAAGCCATCCTTTGTAGCGTTGCTTCAGCCAAGACTTGCAGAGCTAAGCCATTCCCCTGGCTTAGGGCTAGAGACCACAGACACCAATATGGCGGATGATCAAATAGCATTTATTGCGCACACAGCGAGCATTATATACCTTTTCGCAATGCGGAACTGAGCGTGTCGGCCAATCAGGGGGCAAGTCAGCGGTTTTTGCCTTATAAGGTATTATTCTGTGTGGCGTTTATAGCTTACTCCCTTGCGTACATCACGTGATCTTCCGAGCGCCCTTGTCCCTATTCTTTCCGTACATCGCGTGATCTTCCGAGCGCCAGGCCTTACTCTACAGCCATCTATACTTCTGTCTGTTATGTCCCTGTGAATACCAGTGCACTGTGGTTTTCTTTGTTGTCCAGACCCCATGGGCAAGAGGTCCATGGGTGGGCAATGCTGGCCTAAGCCTGACATCAACGGTGAAACTCCCACAGCCTCATAGATAGGGTCAGCATCAGTCCAGCACTGAATGCTTTTGCACCTTCATAGTTGCGTCTCTCCAGAGGTCTCGTGGTCCAAACCACCTCCTCTCAAGCTGCTTCTACACCCACCCTAGTGTATCCACCCAGAAGCCGGTGCTGGGCACAGCCTGGGAGAAGACCCGCTGATCAAAGCAGTGCCAAGCACACAGGAACTCCTCACAGCTTCCTGTTGGTGTGTCTCCTGGCCCAAGCCCCATCTGCTGAGGTATGGCTGTGCCACCTGCAGCAGAGTGGTTTTCTGCACTCACATGCTTGCCTGGCATCCTCCGCCTCCATGGGAGCGCCTTTGAATAGGTCCTTCACAGGCATCCCAGAGGAGATGAGCCAGCAGAGAGCTGTGGCTACAGGTGCATCTGACTCCTGCTGTTCTTTCTCTGCCAGCACAGGGAGAAAACAACCCAACAGCACCAGTCAGGGCTTCAGCCCTGAGTGGGAAGGGGGATGGCAACCCGTGTGTCATTTGCACTTTCTGGAACAACCAGCCTGGTTTTTGGTGGGTTTTTTTCAGCTATTGGCCTCATTAATAAGAAGTGAGCTGAATCTGTGAGATGAATATTGATTTATTCTCTTAATTCCAATACTGTTTCCCAGAAGTAGAACAGTTCACCCTCAGAAAACAGAGATAACTATTTATTCTCAAAATGAGGTCAGCATTAGCATCTGGTTGGTGAATTCCCTTCACTCTGCCCAACCAGTGTGTTCCCATGAGCTGGAGGTGTGGAAGGCCCAGGCCAGGCTGCTGCAGCCTTTGCCTGGGAAGTTTCCTTTTTGCTTTCTTAGTGTCTACGGAAGAGTCTCACAGGGTTCAGACCAGACGTCCGTCCATGCCAGTATTTTACTGTTGACTGTAGCCATCAGCGGCTACAGTGAGGGAAGAACATAGGTATCAGAGAAGCTACAGAGTGGTCTCCTGACACCTTGTTCCAGTCTTTGGCAGTCACTGCTAAGAACTAACGCCTTTCACAGGGTAGCTGCCAAAAAGCAGTGCCATTCAGTAAATATTGAGCAGGTCCAGAATGGGCTTAGTTATAAAATCCCACAGGCGGGAAAGCAGCCCCTCCTGCTTGTTCAGGCCCCATCTGAGTGGATTTCAAGAGAGTTTTGCCTGAGAATCAAGGTTTTGACCTCTCTTCAGTTGAGAATTTCAAGCACTTTTTTCCTGTTCTCTCTTTCCTTATCAACTAGCTTTGACGAAGTCAGTACCTGGTGAATAGCCGATCACTACGCACACTCTCTGTGCCATTCTTGGGTTTGTAAACATCTATCATGCATTCTCTTGGCTATTTCTTTTCTGTACTCAAGAGCCTCATCCTACTCAGTCACTTCTTGCACAGAACTGGCTCCAGCCCATGCTCTCCTTGGAGCACCCTAATGTAGCTGCCAGGGCTTGGCCAAGCTACGAGCAAGTATTTCACACTCAAGTCATCCTAACAGCGCTGGGGACACTTTGATTGCAGGTGTCAAACTAGGCGATAGAAGACAGCATGCAGGTGTCAGTTACCCTTCCACATAGTTTTGGATTCAAACATAAACAGAGGAAGTTCAGGTTAGATATAAGAAAGAAGTTCTTTACTGTGAGGGTGATGAGGCACTGGAATAGGTCGCCCAAAGAAGTGGTAAATGCTCCATCCTTGGCAGTGTTCAAGGCCAGGTTGGGCAGAGCCTTGAGCAACCTGGTCTAGCGTGAGGTGTCCCTGCCTGTGGCAAGGGGTTGGAACTAGATGACCTTAAGGTTCTTTCCAACCCAAACCAGTCTATGATTCTATGATTCTATTTCAAAATCTCTGGCTCCCCACGGTATGTCTGAAAGAGACATCCCTCAGCCACAACTCCTCATAGAAGGATTATCTTTTTCTTCTGCTTTCAGAGCAAACATGGCACAGCTGGGTTCCTGCTTGTACCTGCGGACTGGAAGTGCTGCATCAATGAAAGTTATAGACACGATCAGCAAGTACTACAGGGTGTATTAAACATGCTTGGGTACCTCCCTTTCCCGTCAGCAGGGAGCAGAAGCACACATGTGGTGGAGTTCCAAGCTAACATCCTCTGAAAAGACTCTCATGCTGGCAATGTGCGCGGGGAAACTCCTTTATTGAGAAACAATCTTGTATGTATTGTAGAAAGCTTCCTTCTTCCTCCTCTACCACACAACGTATGGTTGTGAGAACCCTTACTGATTGCAGGAATACTTCCAGTATCTATTTCACAAATTCAGAAATCCCCCTTAAATGAGGATCTGGTGTTTGTCATTAAAGCCATTAGCAAAAAATCCCATGAACAGGGAGGAGAGAGGACCTTGAAATTGCGACAAGACCGGTATTTTCTGTGTGGTTCAGGTTCTGAGCAGATTGTTTCTCCCTGAAATATCACCATATACTTAGTTTTTCTTTTCCACTTACTTACCTCTGACACAGTAAAATCAGATCTAGGGTAAGCAGGCCAGGTCAACCTTGCAATGTTATTTTTAATGCTGAGTTGCGAGACAAACCCAGCAGTTGTTCTTTCAGTTAGTAGCTTTATTAAAGAAATGGGGCTGAACAGAATGAGCCCTGAGGTCGAAGAGGACCACAGGGTCATGGTGACCCACCTTCTGCTAGGTCTGATTCCAGAGGGAGCCAGGACGCTTGTTCCTTCGAGTCTATATGAACAGGAGTGCATGAGGCAGCCTGGACATCATGGCATCATGGACAGGACAGGCCATGACAGTCACTGTCCTGTTGAGGTGTAACCAGAGATACTGTAAGCGGTGAGTCCTTGTACAGTCAGACCCCAAAGATGTTCCAGTGGATGCTGCCTGTGCACTTCCAGCCCACTGGCCTCAGACTATTACAGATCCCGAAGGAAACTATTGCTGCAGCCACCACATGCAGGGGCTGCTGCTCTCAAACATGCTTCACTGCTGAGAAGGGTGGGAGAGAGGGGCAGTCCATCCCTACGGTGCCAGTGCCATGCTGCAGACCCACAACCTGCCAGATGTCATTTCACATGCAAAGCCCAAAGAACACATTGGCAGGTTGAAACCACAGGCTTCTGTGAAGCTTTCCTCTTGTGAACTTGACCATGTTTCCCCACATCCCAGAAGCTGTAGAACTACACAAGCTGGCCAGGAAAAGGCCAGGACTGCCATGACACAACAGCTAGGGACAGTGTCCCCAGTTTGAAGGAGCTGGCAGTTCTGCCCTGAAATCACAGGCCTAACTGGCCCTGTGACCATGAGTGAAGTCTGGAGGTTGGCTTTCCTAAACCACCTTTCCATATCAGTAAAGCCCAGTCACAGCTGTATTAGAGTGAGCATGACTCTGCTTGTAGAGTTTCTTTTAGCCAACACAATAATGGTAAAAACACATACACATGAACATACGTTGTATTTGAACTAGAAGGAGTTTGCCTGTGCAGCTGTCCCTTTCTGCAGTTATACTGATAAACCTTCCTAATTCCTGCTTCTATACGACACAGCTTTTGGTGCAGTTAAAAAGATTATCCAGACCAATCAAATAAACCCCACTGTTTCAACTGCTGACAGATCCTTAGCCTGAAAAGCCAGCCTTCACCACACTGCACAAGTGAAAGGAGCAGTGACGTGCCTGTATATTGGGTGCGTATGTACATGCTCACTCCCATTTCCTTCCTTTTGCTTTTTTCCAAGTTCTCCCAGGCCTCTCTATCCTTTATCCCATCAGCCATGGCTGCTGACCGGGCTCATGCCCTGGTGAACACCATGTTTCTGGGGGAGGTGACTAAGGAAAGGCTGCCCGAGCCACCCCAGCAGCTCCAGCCCTTCAGGTAACACCCAGCCACAGGCGGTTTGATGCTGCCACTGAGAGAGATGAAGAAAACACCTTGCTACAGCAGAGATGAAGATGGAAAACATCCAGCAGCTTGACTTTTGAAATGGCAGCTACTCCTTGCTTGGGGTTGATTTTGGAAACGTGTGATGAAATGGATGGAGACTGACAAGTGCTGACCTGGCGCCAGAGCAAAGAGCAAACTTTTCCACTCCTTCCATCATTTTAGGACAGGTGATGGATAGGTTTGATAGCACCCATCCAGGTCCTTCTGGTCCTTCTGGTCTGCCAAGGCCCCAGAGGTGCCAGAGGCTCAGGAGGAAGATCATGGGTTATCTAAGCAAGAAATGGAAAAT